TTTTTAGTTGTTCAAAATAATCATTAGGCTTGGGAAACGTAAATTCTCTAGGTTGTATATGAATAGGTAGACGAGCAGTACGACCGTATAGTAACTCATAGGGAGAAAATTTCGTGGACTTGTGTACTCCTGTATTATAAGCAAAGACAACGGCTTGCAAGTACTCATCCCAATTGTTATGTTGAGCATTTTGTAACTTTGAAATCTGAGTTACAAAAGTAGCATTAAAACGCTCTACGATACCATTTGTTTGGGGATGGTATGGAGTACTATATATATGATTGTATCCTATGAGATGTTGTAGATTCTCCATTAACTTATTTTGAAAATGTGTTCCACGATCGCTTAAGATAACTGACGGTATACCAAACTTGCAAAAACAATCATCGAATAAGGCGCGCGCTGCAGTTTCTGCTGTGCAGTTTGGAAGTGCTAATGCTGTTATATGTCTCGTAAAATAATCTGTAATAATAAGCACATATTGATTTTCACTAGGAGTCCTAGGTAATGGTCCACAAAAATCAATGCCTATTAAAGCGAATGGTCCTTCAGGTGGTGGAATAGAACGTAAGTGACCATATCTTTTAGCACGATCTATATTAAATTGCGTGCATAAACTACAAGACTTTACGTAGCGTTGTATAGTGATTTTCATACCAGGCCACCAAAAATGAGGACGAATTTTATAGTACATACGATCTGTAGAAAAGTGAGCGCCTGTCAATGGATCATCGTGACATGCTTTCAATAGAGAATTTATCATTGATGATGGTAAATATAACGCTTTAATGATTCGATTAGAAATATTCTGAGAACTGATTAATTTGTACAGTTTATTATTTTCTAAGATAAATGAACTTTGACTCGATATAGTAGATAAATTTTTTATTATGTTCTGTATCTTAGGATCTCGAGCTTGTTCCACTTGTAACTTAGTTATATCGAAAAAATTTTGTGAAAGTGTAGATGTTAGTTTGGTTTTTCTTTTGTGTCTAGAATCTGTTGTATCTATATAATCATGATGATTATTCACGTTATTTCCATCAGAAATATGTTGTTCTGTATAATAAACTCGATTTTTACGTGGTCTTAGAGTCATGGCTGCTAAAACATTCGGATTAGTAGAAGAAACTGTTGAATCTGATGTTAAGTTCTTAGTATCATTATCAGATGTAGCTGATGATAAGATCGAACGAGATTTACTAGCTAAGCCATATTCAATATCGAATATATCATCAAATTGTTCTTTTGAGTAACGTGAAAGATAATCAGGGAGACAATTGTACTGACCGCGAATATGAACGACTTTATCGATATTATATTCTTGGATCAAGTGCGTTATTCGATTCACCCTATTATTCTTAATAGACTTTTGCATTATATAACATAAGGGACAATGATCAGTCATAATGATAATATTTCTCCCTAATACAAAAGAACGCATACGATCCAAACACTTATAGATAGCCAACGCTTCTTTCTCGATCGTACTATATTTTCTTTGACATGGTGTAATAACTTGAGAATGATAGTATAGATTACGGAGTTGCCCATTGACTTCTTGCTGTAAAACACCACCTATTCCGATATCACTAGCGTCTGTAGTTAATACTACAGGTAAATCATCTACAGGAAAATGTAAAAATAAAGGTTCGGTGGTAAGCATCTCTTTAAGTTGGTGAAAGGCTTTTGATTGAGCAGTTTGCCACTTAAATTTTCGTCGGTTAGGCCTCGTAAGATTGGTAACAGTATGTATGGGTGCTGCTACTTCGGCAAATTTTGGTAGAAATTTTCTATACCATCCTAAAGACCCTAGAAAACGATTCGCTTGAGCTAAAGTACGCGGTTCTTGTATTTGCAAAATAGCTTCTATCTTATCTTTCATTGGTTTGATAGAATTTTTATTGATAGTATGACCTAAGTAATTAATTTGTGGAACGGCTAATTCACATTTAGGTGGATTTAATATTAGATTTTTCTGTTGCAAAGCTGAAAAGACAGATTGAAGATGATCCAAATGATCAGAAAAAGATTTGGAAAAGACAACAATATCATCTAAGTAAACGAGAGAAAACTGACGACACGATTTCAAAGTCTCTGTCATAACTTTTTGAAAAGTAGGAGGAGAGTTTCGTAATCCCATCGGTAGAACGTTAAACTGATATAAGCCAAATGGGGTTATGAAAGCTGTTTTCTCTTTATCATTTTTATTAATCGGTATTTGATAAAAACCGGATTTCAGATCGAGTTTGGAGAAATAACTAAACCCTTTTCCTAATTTAAAGATTGTATCTTCCATATTGGGAAGAGGAGAAGAATCTTTGATAGTTATAGCATTTAATAGCCTATAATCTACTACAAATCGAAATGAATTATCTTTTTTCTTAACAAGTATCGCTGGTGCTGCATATGGCGAATTCGATTCTGAAATAAGACCAGCGTTCAAAAACTCTTGAATAAATTCGTACATCACTTCCTCGCGATCCGGTTGAGGATATGCTCTAGTAGCAGGAGGTGAATGAGGAATGGTATTAATAACATGCGGTATAGGAGTACGAGCTATAGTATGTCTGGTTGTATCAAAAATATTAGAGAAACGCTCTAGTAACGAAAGAAGATCTTGTTTGTGTTGATCATTCTGAATATTTTCAACAAGAGAGTGTAGATGTTGTGTTACTATAGGATTACGTAATTCCTTCGAGGGTAACACAGTTTCTGTTACAAAAGAACTGGTTCGATTAGTACACGTACTACTATTGTTGCTTAATTTCGATGAACGATTACTAGAATCACTAATTATTGTCAAGTCATTAGATACTGGAGTCATACCAGTACGTCTGGTAGCTCCAAAAAAATGATGGTGCGATGAATAAAAGGTACGAGGATGTTGAAACATAGAACAACACAACAAATATCCTAGACATGTACCTTTTCGTATGACTTTTGGAAATCTCTTGGTATTATATAATATAAGATCACTACGATAATTTTGAAAGTTAAGATGTTTGTTCTTATTGTCAACAAGTACGTAAGTTTTAAATGAAGAAGCTGGAATAAATGGTAAAGAAATAGATGAAATAGGAATGGCAACTGGAATTTTTCGTGTGGAATTAGAAGAAAGTAATACCGTGGTAGAAGAAATAACCGGTATTCTAATAGATTTTGTTACATTAACGATCGGAACTACAATATGATGATTATGTAACTGAATAGTAACCATCTGTTTCTGAACATTTATATTCATATTATATTTATTAATGTAATCCATGCCTATTATCATATCTGTACATAAATGTTGAGCTATGTAAGCTTTTATCGGAGTAAAAAAATTATTAAATTCAACCGATAAATCTACTGATCCAAGAACATTAAATGATGCAATACCGTCAGCTAACAAAAAAGAAGATGATTGCTTTAGTATAGAATTCATTGGTACTAAATGATGTAGAATTTGACTATTGATGAAGGTTTTGGTGGCTCCGGTGTCTATTAAAATTTTAATTTTATGTTTATTTACCAAAGCGTATATAAAGATTAAAGGAGGCTTTGATGGATTTAAAAGCATATTCCCGGAGTCAACACCATCGTACGATGACTCCTTCACTGAAAATTTGGGCATGACGAAGCGTCATGTCCCATAGAATTACAGAGATGACAAACTACTGTTGAAAGAGAGTCAAGATTATCATCATGATTAGGTGGTAAGGTTGATGTAAAAACTGCATTAACTGAGCGAGAAGTCGCTTTATTATCAGGTTGTGCAAAACTTTTATGTGGTTGTATATTTTTCTGCTTACGACTACCTGTATTATCATTGTACTTATTTGTTGATAAAGAATGACGTGGTGACTGATAATAATAATTCGAGTTAGAAGCCTGTGTTCGATTCTGTTTAGATACATAATTGGGATCAGATGTATAGTTAGATGATCCTTGATAAGCACGAAAACTAGTTCGTGGTATTGAACGATAATTACTGTTAGTACTGTTGGAAAACTGTACGGAAGTGGCACTCGAAGTATTGTCACTCGTAGAAAAAGTTTTTGGTTTAGAAGCAGAACTAATAGTTGTATTTGTACTGATGTTAGATAACTGTAATAGTTCTTCTATTTCTTTTGCATGCTCAAGAAATTCAGCAGGTGTTTTTGGCTTTTTTTTGCGTATCTCTAGTTGCATGCTAGGCTTTACTTTGTTTAATAAATTTTTCAATTTAGTCGACTCGCTCATATTAGGATCAGCCTTCTTACATAAGTTTAGAACTTCATTAAAAAAATTACGGACAGATTGTTTCTCCCCTTGAGTATATGACTCAAGGGTTTTAAACGCTAGCTCTTCCGAAAAAGACGAAGTAAAAGCTTTTTTAATTTCTTGAACAAATTTATCCCAACTAGTTAATACTGATTGGTTATTACGAAACCATTGACAAGCATCTCCTCTTAAAGAATAAGAAATGAGATCGAGCCGATTCGTATCAGGAACATGTGCAATGTGCATCAAATGATCAATATCCTCTAACCATTTTGTCACGTCGTCCTTATTACCACGAAAAATCTTTGGATTTCGTATAAAATCTGCTACGATAGCTTTGCGTAAATCTGTTATCACTGGATCTGATGGTAAACGATTAATTGTTGAAGTATTTCCAGATAAGTTAGAGTCTGACACATCACCACTCGTTGTGGTGGTATCATCAATAGCAAGCTTACTATAAGAAGAAACGGATGGCTGTGACAACTGAGTAGCATCAGTTATATTCGCAACATTTAATTTAGAATCTGTTGTTATATTACTGATGCACATAGAATCTTTCGCAAATTCAACTTTATGATTAGTTTGACTAGGTTTAGAAGTACTGACTGTTACTGGAGTTGAATCGAAATGTGTTAGTAGAAATTCATAAAAATCATCAAAAGATTTTATGGCGTGACGATTTTTGATATATTTGCGTTTCGCATCGCCTTGTACTAAAAGAGGTATAGCTTGAAAACGAAGTTTACGTGAGATCTTGAAGCGATGAAATAAGGCGTCAGTCTCATCTAACCATTGATCGATGGGTTCTGCTCCCGAAAAAGGAACGAAGTTCTCACAAATAAATGTATCAAATAGATTATCATCTTCTTGTTCATCACTTGTATGATCTTTCTGATGAGATTGATTATGAATTAAATTCGGTATTACTGAAGTATCTTGTCGATTATGACACAAAACATGATCATCTTCGAAAGCAGTATTGTTTTCGGTAGCTATAACAGTATTCATTACTGAGCTGTCCTCATTACTACAGGATTGAGTTTTAGTAGATGGTAATAATTTATCTGGTCTGTTCGGTGTAGGAATAATATCCATGCGCCGTGTCATTTTTGAAAAAGAACTAGGTTTCGATGCTGGATTAAATGTTGATGTTAATATTAAATTTTCTGAATTTGTTGGTAAATTAAGTGAACCTAATGACTCAGACTTCTGCATCTTTAGAATGTTGGTTAGATATGTATTTCTGACAATATATAAATGAATACGAAAAAGAAAAGAATCAAATAGAAAAAATAATATAGATAGGGGTGAATAGAACAAGCAAATATATCTATATATGATGTAACGATATAGAAACGACAAGAGAAAAAAAAATCGGATGATGGTATAGTTTCGAAAAAAAAAAAATTATAATAATGGTCGTTTTTCAATAATAAATTTTAACTTCTCCACCAATTGTTAGCTCTGTAATAGGGGATGATCTTACTGAGCTGAACTTCTCTGTATATATATAAAATATAGCTTACATATATAAATCAATATGAAGCTGTTGGATGATATATATATATATATATTTGATCAAACAAGAAAAATATAATAATATCAAAGATGATAACGATCAGCAGTAACAACAAAAAGAAAAGAAAAAACATACATATATATATAAGTATATACATGTGCGTAATATCAACTAGCTCACTCACGTGAGCTGTGTTTTCCAATCGATTGCGCAACAGAACGAAAATAAATAGAGCGGAACACTGTAGATGATAACCAACGACATCTACAGGCGCTCACACGAATCAACTGATATTTTTACCCAGGATAGAGGCATATCCACACTCCAAATCCATACTGACAAAGTTAGTGAGAACCTTTGTTAAGTATATGGTTTTTCTTCCTCTCTGTGGAACAGTGGAATTTTCTTGTTTAGGTCAATAGTGATACTTAACAAAGATTCTCAATACCCTTGTCCATATGGATTTGTAGTGTGAACATGCCTCAATCTTTGTTAAAAAAATGAGCTCGTTTGGTCGAGCCGTAAAGGAGATATGAAAATTTTCCTAACTCTAAGGACTTTCCGGACACCCTATATACATACGTCTCTCTTATTGAGGATGTCACGGAAATCTTTATCACACACATCTGCACATATCTCTCTAGCTGAGAGTGCTCGAAAATCATGATTCCACATGAAAAACACATTCTGTAGTGGATGAATCGCAAATGAGAAATTTGAAGATTTTCATCCAAATTCGATCAAGATCATCCATTATGGGATCAGCTTTTCATATGGAATGACGATTTCCAAGCACCCTCAGTGAGATCGATGTGCTGTGTTTCCGAATCTGTCAGTCTCTTCGTGCACCCTTAGTGAGATCGATGCGCTGTGTGTGTTTTCGAATATGTACGTCTTTCCGAGCATCCTCAGTGAGAGCAATGTGCTGTGCGGGTTCCCGAATGTGTCCCCACTTGCGAGCACCCTCAGCGAGAAAGATGTGCAGTGTGTGTGCTTCCGAATCTGTCCGTATAGTCGTGCACCCTCAGCGAGAAAGATGTCCTGTGTGTGTGTTTCCGAATCTGCCCGTATAGTCGTGCATCCTTCGTGAGACAGATATGCTGTGTGTGTTGTGGTAATACCTGAAATACCTCGTTGAATCTAATAGAAACTGAATTATTTTAGAATTAAAGGTTTTTGAATTGCTTTGTAATTCACTTACGTCATCCAGTGGTTATAACTAAGGAAAACTTTCTCTTTTCCTTTTCATCTAAACCTACAGGACTATGCCGAATTGGTGCTGGGCATTATTTCTTCATTTATATTCGAATTAGAATTTATAATTAGACAAATTTTTTTTTCGGCCAGACCTACAGGACAGCGCTATCTCAATTCGAAATTATTCGAATTCAAATTTATAAATGAGAATAAAAATTTTTTTTCTGCCAAACCTACAGGACAGCGCTATCTCAATTCGCAATTATTCGAATTCGAATTTATAAATGAGAATAAAAAATTTTTTTCTGCCTGACTTACAGGACAGCCCCATCTGAATTACGAATTATCATTAAGATCGAAAGTTTTTATTTTTTTTTCTTTTCCTAGCGACAAGTGCTGGCTTGATTTTTTTTCATTTATTTTCGAAGTCATCTTATGCAGTTGATGGTTCATTTATATTCGAGCTCGAATTAGACATCTCATCGTTTCTGACGATGCTCTTTCATTTGCAATCATAAAATATAGGGGTCAAAATTTTCGAGAGTATGGCTCTATTAAACAGTTCTCGAAATTCTCATGGACCGTCTCTTAACAATTAAATAATCACGAAATTTTCTTGAATATTTTGATGTAATTTAGCATTCATAATTGGCGTTTCTTTTGCTTGATTTTCAATAAAATAATCATCACCTTGTTCAATTAAATATATGACAATAGCTAAATGACCATTATAACAAGCACCAGTTGATACTGCTGTTGGAGCATTTGTAAAATCTTTTGCTATTATTATTGTAAATGCTAATGCTTTTTCTAAATTTTGTTGATCTTGTGCATTAACAGAACATCATGCATTTAAAATAAGATATTGAACAATATCTAAATGATTATATTTCTTGATGCTGAATATAAAAGTGCTGTACCAAAAAGACCTGGTTTATTTTTAAATCTTGGATGTTTTTCAATAAAATCTTTAATTGGACGGTTTTTTTATTCTCTAAACTTTCGCCGAAAGTAAAAATATCGAAAAAATAACAATGTCGAAAGCAAAAACAATTAAGATATCAGAAGATAGAAATGTCGAAACACATATTTTTTAAAACTACAAACCATCCTCACCCTCACTCTCAATTTTAAATATGACATTTGTGACGAAGTATCCTTAATCTAATTCTAATATATACCAGAAGAATGTAAACTTTCCAACATGAAATTTAACACGCAATGACAAGTGTTGATTAGTTGACATTCGGTCGAGAGTTAAGTGACTAGCGACGACCAGCGTTACTTTTGTATAAATAATTAAAATATCATTTACATTAATCGAAAATATTATTTAAACAAATTTAGAATTAATTCATCACTTACACTCAGATTCATCCGCGCATCTCTTAAAATCAATGGAAACGTATTGAAAAAAGAACCATACGTGTAGTTATAATAAGTGTTATAGGATGGTTGAAATACTATATGAATTAATTTAAATAAATAGATAAATACATAGATACATCAATAAAATAAAAATGATTAGGAATTTTAGACTCAATCAATAATATTTTTGTCACGAATTCACATTTAAGAACAATTATTTCTCTTGCAGTGGTTGCTCGTATTTTATTTTCTTTGAGATTATTTTTTGTTTTAACTTGCTTGTTCATTTATATTAAACGAAAAGATGGCGTTGAGATAGATAGGTTTATTTCAGAAAAATAAATCGAATAATAAAATAGGAGGAAAACGAAAGAGAAGAACGAATAATCGTTAGTAATTTTATATGTACACGTGCTTCAATTTATTTTAAATGACCGTGATACATTCGATCTTTCTCAATAGTTATTCAAGTGGAAATATCTACTTTATTCTCTTCTTTCTAGATTAATATGGATTTAAAAAAATCAAGTTCTTTTGATCTGAACGAGAAAGTTCTTTGTCAATCTACAAATCGTATTCATCATCGAAGACATACTCGTCAAATAATTGCACAAGTAAATGTTTTTTTTCTTATTTTTCCTGTGAGTCGTATTTTTCTTATTTGAGTGCAACGCTTATGAAAATCAAATTAAAACAATTAATCGAAACATACAAGTTTTACAAGATCGAGGAGGAGCTCCTGATACAATTAATCCATTCGTAGATGAAAGAGTATCATGTTATGAAAAGTTGGAGCAACTGAAGGATTTATATTGTAAGTCTCTCGCATGTTTATAAAAATAATTAAAAAAATTTCTTTTTTTTGCAGTCCAGGCGATCACCTATATGAAACGTTATGGAAGACGTAAATCTATCTGATATTGGAAAATTCTTTTGGTCTTCTTTTGACATCTTTTGCATTTCTACCTTTCATGTTTTTTTTATGCTACATTAAGTTTATTAAACTACCATGGACAAAATTAACGCTACACGTATTTTTGATAGATATTTTCATTAATAGTCAATCACGAAAAATATGAGTTTTTCAGAATTTTTTTTTCGTCTATAGCATTCTGTACAGCTCGCTTCGCTGATCATTTTGGTAAAAAAGATATTCAAATTTACCTGATAAAAAGCGAGCCTCGGCTCAGAATACTCAAAAATACCACCTACTACTCAGTAGTAGTTACCAACAGTCGTAAGTTTTGACTATTTTGACTCTAATGCCATTATTTATTGAGTAAATTTGAATATCTTTTTTTACCAAAATGATCAGCGAAACGAGCTCTACAAAGCCCTATAGACGAAAAAAAAAGTCTGAAAAACTCATATTTTTCGTGATTGACTATTAACGAAAATATCTATCAAAAATATGTGTAACGTTAATTTTGTCCGTGGTAGAAAGATGTGAAATATTGGGCATGTATCCATTCAGTCACGTATCCGTTTTTATTTTCAATCAGGCCACAATTCACTTAAGGCAAATGAGGAAATAAAAAATATAATCAAGTAACAGTCAATTGAAGAAGATACTATTAAGTAAGGAAAAACAACAGATTTTAAGAATTTCATAAGGCTAATCTAATATTGATGTAATAATTGTCAAGTTTTATGTCTCTTCAATAGAAGAATGCTGAAAGACAAATTTTCACCAGAATATAGAAAATGTTTTCATCGTTCAAATCATATATAATTTATCTTTTTTCAACTGCTCACGAATGAAATTATATTAGAAGAAAAAAAAGGTTTTCTAATAATAAATTCGTACTTTTCTTGAGCTACACCAAAAAGAGACGAAATAATGGTTCCTGTAACTTTTTTGATGCATACATTCGAAAAGGAGTATTTTTTCCTATTAATCAATAAAAATTCCTTTTTAGCATATGTTTATTGAATCGATATAAAAAAAAGTGCAAACTTGTTTTTGTATCATGTCATATGTTTAGACAGGCGAGAACAATAAGGCATACACGAGTCGAAAAAAAAAGAAAATTCCATTCTCTAGTAAAAAATAGTTTTCTTTCAGAATGTGTGTGTGTGTGTGTATTAATTAATAATTTATCTACATTTACAAACACATCATAATTGCATAGGCTAAAAAACAGAAATATTCTTTTATCATACAGCATGCAATAAAACTGACATTAGGATGAACACTGATCACCAGAGTATAGGGTCAAACCGAAGTAGTCTAGCCCATGTTATTCAATCATCGATGGAAATTAATGAGTTCAAGATAAATAATGAACTACCTCACTATACAACATGGATGTAGTTTCATGTGAAGAAAACTTATCATGAAGAGTATTTTATGTGTTTCGATTGATTGAGAGATTTGTTAATATCATGCTCGTGTTGCACAACGATCAATACACTTTGTACTCTTTTTTGTTCTTCTTAACTAAACTAAATATTATACTTAGAACCATGTAAACGAAAAAATTTCATGTGCACAGCATGTTATTTACGTTGAATTCGTTGTTTTTTGGGTATGAAAATAATGAAACAAATGCAAAGAATGAAAGAAAGATAATATAAAATCTGGGTGTGGGTGTGGATGTAAATGAAGAGAAGATGAACATCCACACCCACACCCGATCAAACTGTAGACTTTACCACTCATATTTCGAGGTCTTCTCTAGAGGTAGAATCAAACGTTTCTATGTTTGACGCTCTTGACCCGAGCTACCTAATCGTAGAAGCCAAGAACTGATGCACCAACTCAAATCTTTACGTATTTCTCCGATAAAAAAAAGAAAATAAGACTTTTGGAAATCATTAAATTTATCTCTGAGGAATAATGTTGTGTGTCTAAAAACAAAATTTCACTCTAGTCAGACAAACTTAAAGGGTGGTCATAGTATATCAGGATGTAAAAACCTAGAAAACCATAGGTTTCTAGAAAAACTCCACAAAAAATTATTTAAAATGCTTTTTCTTCAAACGAATATTTCTATATTTCGTGCTCTTTCTGTGCCAAAAAATTTTAATTTCATCAATGGCACCTTTTCAAGAATCAGGAAACCTAAAGAGGAGAAAATACCCGTAACTTGTATGGTGATCAAAACAGGGTTTACTGCTACATAATCTAGTACAAGAGTTATCAAAGAACAATCATTGCAATTTTTTAATGTTGGTGGTGAATTTGGAACTAGTTTCTGATGTAATTCACTTACATCAAATAGCTATATGCATCGAAATTCATTAAATAATGATAGCATAAACTAATGTTAATACTCGCCGCTTTGAAGATAACAGTTGGGGAAATAGCAGACTAGTGCATGTTGTAAAGTAAGCTTTGCTATATTGGATTATCAATGCCACTATTCAAATTTATTCCACTTTTCTAATCAAATTTTCTAAACATTTTCATTAAGATATTCCTTCATATAGTGAAGAAAGGAATCCGAAAAAAGTCTATGAAAATTCTACTAATTTCTACATATTCTGATGCAGTTTTTCACGAGGAACCACAATATACCACTGATTTAATGATCAGAGTGAGAAATGGTGACACATCATCGATTTTTCGATACTACTCCGACATTAGTTCTTGAGAAAAAGGCGAAAATTACAAGAATGCAGTAAAAGTACTTTGTCCATATTTCAATGAAAATCCACTCAAGTTTTTAAAATTTTACTATCAAAATGATCAGCGTAAAAAGCTCTACAAACTCTTAAACCTTCATCAGATTTGGATGAGGTCGGTGGATTTACTAGCAACCTCCCGCGGGGAAACCCATATATCTCCCATCAGTAAGAAGCTATAAGGTATTTTCATATCCATTCAAAATTATCTTGAGTTGTACTTTAAGTACTGTTTCAAATCGACATAAATCTATAAGAAAGGTGTATAGATGTATAAAGGTTTGGAATGCGAATGATAGAAAATACCTTTGAGAATAATAAGACGTATATTGATTGCTAGAATTTGCTGTATATTTTGTGAAACACGATCTGAAAGGAGTGTTGAAGTGTTTAGGGGCAGAAATTTGCATCCACTCCCCTCCCCCCATAGACCGTGACAGGGAAAATTCATACCCGTCACAGATCGTGACAGAGAATCTCCGAACCCATCACAGACCGTGACAGAGAACCCAGAGACCATCACAGACCGTGACAGAGAATCCCAGAGACCATCACAGACCGTGACAGAGAACCTCCAGAGATCATCACAGACCGTGACAGAGAACCTTTGGATCCATCACAGACCGTGACAGAGAACCTCTAGACCCGTCACAGACCGTGACAGAGAACCTTCGGACCCATCACAGACCGTGACAGACAAGCTCCAGGGATCATCATAGACTGTGAAAGAAGAGTTCAAGGAAGTATTAGAGATAATCCATAACTAACACATGATTGGAGCATATATGGGGTATTATCCTGTTTCAGCTCTATAATGTAAAGTAAGCCACGATGAAGAAATGTACACCAATATGCATAAAAAAGAACAATTTTTATAAGATTGGCAACAGCAGGTACATCGTGTTTCACACTTTTAATCCCACAAGGAATTGCGCTAACAGCTTTTTTTCGAATATAGAAAAATGCAGCATTTTAATCTTTATTTGTTTCGCATTTTGTCAAATTAAAAATGCGACGGTCCGGATCCAGTGCATCTTGTAGAGCAAATGATTCTCTACAAAACCCTATATATGGCTATGTTCTGTAACTCCAATTTGCTGAACATTTTTTTAATTCAAGAGAACGTACTTTTACAGAGTCAGTGTGCTCCATTGATGAAAGGACAATATTATCAAACTATTGATAAAATCACAATATTTTATAGTCAAAATGTAGTACAGATCAGGGACAATCAGAATATGTATAATATATATATATTGTAAGAAGTTAAGCGTTTATTTTGAAAATTTTAGAAGAACTTTATAAAAAAATAATTTTTACGCTTTTTCTGAAAATGATCAAAATGTCACGCTCCATATTTCCTTATTTATTAATGAAATTTACAAAACTGGTTCGGCCGATTTTCATACTTCAATATGGTCTACAAATTCTGAAAGTTTCATTGAATTGAGGAATATTCGATGTAAACATGGTAGAGACTCCATGGAATATCCCATATATGTAAATTGTTCGTTCATTCGTTTTGGTCATGTAGAATATATATTGTTTTTCTTATTAATGAAATAAATTGTTAATTGATCATCAGCTGTTTTTGCTCGAACGAGACCTGAACGCATAACAATCGTCTTCTATGAAAATGTATCTGACGCAAAATTTTTTT